AAGTCAACCAAAAGGAATCTCTAAACTGACTTTAGACACATTATGTTCATATAACATTTGAACATGACTCTTTTGTGTGTTTTGGTTAATTACAGAGTTTTATAGATAACATTTGTTTAATACTATCCAAGGTTATGTTTTTGACCTTTTAAGTAGGTTTACGAGCATTGGTCTATAGCTTGGATTAGGTACGTCAGAAAAAGATGATCTTATGGTAACATGGGGATGTTAAAACTTAGGAAAACTGAAAATATTTAATTTTTATTTTTGAGCTATTTGCGTATAGAATTTGTCCCCACTAGAGTTTATGACCTACTTCATTCCTTTTATCTGACTAAAACCACTATACAAACTTTTGAAATATGTATAGCATTAGTAGACAAAAATGTATTAAGATACACAGGTTCAGACTATATACTTTTATCATGAAATGACTTTTTCCCAGTGGAGGCACAGCATTTTATACATGACTTAAAGATACTACAAATTAAAGTATAAAAATATTTTCTTTTGGGTTGAAATAGACTTATATTTGTACAAACATGTTCACAGCTGTAGTATTCAAAACAACCAAGAGGAGGAAGTAACCCAAATATCTACCAACAGATGAACGGATAAAACATGGTGTGTACACACAAATATTATTCAGCCTTAGAAAGAATGTATCATATGCTACAACATGGGTGAGTTTTCAGGACATTATGGTAAGTGAAATAAGCCAGTCACTCAAAGACAAATACTGTATGATTCACTTAGATAACATATCTAAAGTAGTACAATTCAGAAAGTAGGACACTGGTTACTAGGGACTGGGAAGAAGGGGAAAAAGAGGAACTTATGGTCATGGAGCTTCAGATTTGCCATATGAAAATATTTTGAAGATGTTTCACAACAATGTGAATATACTAATATCATTAAACTGGATATTTTAAAATGGTTAATACAGTAAATCTTACATAACATGTGTTTTACCATAATTATTTTTTTCTTTTGGTATGGGGGACTGAACCCAGGGGCGGTCAACCATTAAGCAACATCCCCATTCTATTTTTAAAAGTTTGAGACAGGGTCTCACTAAGTTGCTGAAGCTGGCTTGAACTTGTGATCTGCCTGCCTCAGCCTCTTAAACCACTGGGATTACAGGCATGTACCAGAAAGCTAGGCCACAATTTTTTTTTAAAAAGCTAGTATTATCCAGATTTTTCAGAGAAATCTGGCTATATCATATGTGGCAACCTATCATTCATTCACTTCTATTTTCATCTGAAGTTTGTACACAGGATCAACAAACTCATTACTCTAAAATACTACCTATGTCCTTTTAAATTTAGGGTCATGTTGGGAGAAAACAGATGAGCTACAAATAACACTGGGTATCAAGCAAGTGGTCTGAAGTAAATATCTGCATATATTTATTTCTTTTAAAATGTGTTAACTTTGACTCAACACTATTCACTATTTGTAGCTTCCTGTAATTATTTCACTTTCAAAATAATATATTGTCTCTCAATTATTTTTTTCATTAGCACTTTTTGAGTACCTGTTATTTGTCAGTCAGCGTTATATAGGTTCTTGGGGTATAACAGTGAACAAACAACAAAATCTTAGCTGTTACAGTTACAAACTAGAGATAAAAAATAAATATTAAAATAATCTGGCTGGGTACAGTGGTGCACACCTGTAATCCCAGTGACTTGGAAGGCTGAGGCAGGAGGATCACAAGTTCAAAGCCAGCCTTAATAACCTTGTGGGGCCCTCAAAAACCTAGTGAGACCCTGTTTCAAAATAAGAAACAAAAAAGGCTGGGAATGTAGCTCAGTTTTAAAGCACCCCTAGGTTCAATCCTTGGTACCCAACGTCCGCCGCCCCCCACCCAGGGCTTTTATTTTTTTTGAGACAGGGTCTTCGTATGTTGCCCATGCTGGCCTCAAAGGATCCTCCTGTCTCAACCTCTCAAATATTTGGGAATATTAGCATATGCCATTGCATCCAAATCAGTTCTTTGTTTTAGGTCTAAAAAAATTTTGGGATACACAGATTGTAATTTTAGCTAAAGTAGCCAGGGAAAGTGGTTAGATTCAACATGCCAAGGATACTGACTACGGTATCTGGTGAAAGTAAATTCCAGGCAAAAGGAAGTAGCAAGTGCCACATCCCTAAGACAGCTGCATAAAATGCATTAGAGGAGACGATTATGGCAAATTAAGACAGCAAATAGATGAAGTTAGAAAGGCAGAAGGGTTGAAAGGAAGTCAGATTATGCGTGAACCGCTAGATCACAATATGCACATTGCGTATCATACACAGGATTCCTTGGGGAATTTGAGAAAAAGAGTAACAAAACATGATATATTTAAATAGGACCCCTCTGGCCGCTTTGGTTGAAAACAGACTCAAAGTAAGCATGGTAACCACACTATTGCCATAAGAAAATATAGTGGTTTGGTCCAGCGCAGTGGCAAAGAATTATAAAAATGTGGGATATTCAATAGGTAGGGTTAAACAGAATATGCTGACAATTTTGGGATATGACAGAAGAGGATGACAAGGTTTTTAGTACAACATAGCAAGAAGAAGGGAGTTGTCATTCACTGAGATAAGAGTACAAGGTTTGGATACGCTACATTTAAGATGCTTAAATTCAGTAAGCATTGAAAAGAATTTCCTGCATTGTAACTATTACAATTATTTGCCTAATCTGCCTCCCATGAAAGCAGCCACTTTTATATTCAGTGCTCTTTGTTTGGTGCTCAATGTTTGCTGAATGAGTTATCTGCAAATAGGTTTTTAAAAATACTGTCTTTAATATTCTCAGTATTTCCTTTTCTCATGTCAGACTTAAAATGATATATTTTGAATGACTTAATCTTTTAAAATACAACAAATTAATGCATCACTAGTGTTTTATTGTCCTCAGATGACTGGATGGTGCTAATAGCATAGTTCATCTAATGAAATCTCTATTAGGTTTATTATCTGGGATTGGAGGTGTAGTTCAGTGGTAGAGCTAGTGTTTGGCAGGCATGAGGATCTCGGTTCAATCCCCCGCGTGCACACATACACAAGTGAAAAATACAATAAATTCAATTTAGGTTTGCATGACTTTCTTTTTTAGAGTATTGGGGATTGGACTAAATTGCTTAGGGCCTCACTAAGTTGCTGGGACTGGTTTTGAACTCATGCTCCTTTTGCCTCAGCCTCCTGACTAACTGGGATTACAGGTGTGAGCTACCATGCCAGGTATGAATGCATGACTTTCACAGATAAGCAAGTCTACAGTATTCAACTTTCTGCACCCAAAGCCTTTCTAAGGAAGAAGAACTACAGATACTCAAAGGTTTATTGATGAGTACCTCAGGCATGGAATTTTCAAATTCTAAAATGTAACAAAATTCCAGGGTAACATAGTATTTACAATTCATGACTATTTTCCTGAGTTTCCATGTCACTGGAGTCAAGACTCTATTATCACACTTAGCTATAGTGTTATCTGTAGCATTGGTCAAGACTATTATCAGCTACAGTGTCATTTATTGTTTGTCTATCTCCCTTTGACCAGACTGAGCAATTCTAGGGAAGTGGCAATCCATCCACAATGACTAACTCAAAAAGTTAATGAGGGACTGGGGAAGTAGCTCAGCTGGTAGAGTGTTTGCCTGACATGTGTGAAGCCCTGGATTCAATCCTCTACATCCCAAGGAAAAAAGTTATTTATTGCATTAAAATGCATTCTTCGTGGCTCACTTCATGAATAAAAAGTTCCAAAATTACCTAGATATACTGGTGCTATAACAAAAAGGACTAGATACAATACTATACAAGGTGCTTGATGTAAAATCCCTGACTTGTGAACCATCATCCTGTGTTTTCAGTTCCTTCTCGGACTTGAGAAGATTCAAGATCATTCATGTATCAAGTTAAAAACTTGCTTATTCTATGGAAGTAAACTGAAGGATAATGAATTAATTTTGTAAAGATCTTGGTATGTATAATGTATCTAGTTCTACCTCGATCAACTGGGTTTTACAAAGCTTCAAGAAAACCAAAGGTCACAAGCAAAGGATAGTTCCAGGTCAATCACAAGACTGGTTTCTATGATTAAGATTGATCAATTGTACAATCCATCTTTTCACCTCTTCCCACCAGCTTTCTGCATAAAGCTTTACTATTAGAACTGAAGAGTAATTCTGTGCACTGGATGGTGATTTGGTTTTTATAGGAAAGAGGTAAGTTGGTAATATTACATTCCATTTTCAATGAGTCCAAATATAACATCATAAATGCCAAAACATAGTTTTGATATCCAACATCATATCATATCTGGTTCCCATACTGGTCCCCCAAACTGAAATATGATCCAATGGCAGATCTGTCCGCAAAATAGATGATTCAGTTTTCACTTTCAAATTTTATGTTCATCAGATTAATGTTTCGCGATAGAGGACAACCGACAAAGAACAAGGTTCCCCTTGCTCCTGGGCTCCTTCATTTTGTCATTACAAACAAAAATTACAAACCCCTGCAGCATTTCCAAATATTTTTGGAAATCTGAGAGAAACTGCTCAAAAGATTTGTTACCAAACATGTTTCTTGTATATTCCGGAGCCAGCTCTGGAATCAACTCTTTTAAAACAGGATTTTTGGTTGACCTAACAGAAACAAGAACGACTTGATGTGAAAGACTTTGTCACCTAAGCGAGTGTGATGATAACTGACAAAACTTCTGAGTCCGAGTAACTTTGAAGACAGTCCCTCCGGGGCATGGCATACACTTCTCTCTCTGCAGTCATTTAAGCTTCCCAGAATACCTCAATGGTAGAGAGAACTGGGGGCCCACCCTTTCCACGAGCAGCCGACAAAGAAGAAATCCGCGGAGGCACCCGCAGGAGAAGGATCCGCAGAGCCAGGGATCGCCTGAGACCAACTTAGATACCTCTGGGGCGCCTCAGGTTGATCCAAGAACAAGCCCTGGAGGGGACACCGTGGGAGAAGAGTCTAACCTGAGAGGCCGCGGGCGCTTGCTAAAGCAGGAACCAGCTTGGGAGTAGAGAGTAGCCAAAGCATAACTGCCAGCTCACACGTCAGGAAAAGAAAGGCAATCAGCCCGCGAAGGAGCCACCAGCACAGCCGCGTCGCCAGGAAACCGGACCAACCGCCCCTCCCCTTCCGGCTGGCGCCGCTCGCGGGCTTTCCTCTCCCGGCGGCGCAGAATGCTGACATCAACGCCGCACTCGGCGTTCCGGCCGCGGGGCCCTTTTTCATTAGAGCTTCACGTACCACTTAACGCCCACCTTCCCAGAGTGTCTGATTCCAGTGGTTCACTGGAAGGGCTCTTTCCAGCTCGCTTCAAAGTGCCCAGGAAGAAGGCTGGACCCGTCCTGGGGAACTCCAATCAGAGAGAAGAAAACATTTGAGAACGTTGGCGAGAGAGGCAGGCAATAACGCGAACAGCCACATTTCTAGAAGGTTCTAGGCAGCGCGCTGGAGCACGGGTAGAGGGAGACGGACTGAGCGAGCCAAGGACCCAGGGTCACGAGGCCGTTAGGGGGAGGAGCCAGCGGCCGGGGAGGTTCTAGTCTGTTCGGCCTCGCGGCATCCGCCCCCTTCTGCGCGGTCACGCTGAGCCAGCGCCCGGGCCTGGGAACCGGCCGCAGCCGCCTCCGCCTTCCTCTCCTCGACCATGGATCCCCGCAAAGTGAGCGAGCTTCGGGCCTTCGTGAAAATGTGTAAGCAGGATCCGAGCGTCCTGCACACCGAGGAGATGCGCTTCCTGAGAGAGTGGGTGGAGAGGTGAGACTCGCGCCCAGGGACCGTTGGGGGCGGCCTGGGCCGGAGCTGGCGCGGGGCGCGGGCTCGGGGCCCCTAGGTGGCTTCGCTCCCTGGCCGGGAAGGTAGCCACCTGGAGTGGTTAATGGAGGGTCCGGAGCCTTGGGTAGTGCAGGAGCCGGGGAGTCAGGGGCAGAGCCGAGGTCGCCGCTGCCTAAAGCCCCACGGTGTGTGTTGGACAAGGCGGACGCAGCCGATTGCAAGGACAGGGGCCCCGGAGACCTGAAGAGCAAGGGAGAGGGATAAGAATGAAGGCGTGCGGGGTGGGTTTTCCCCCCCTCTGGCGTCCTGCTTAGGTCGCGTTGACACATAAGAGCTCCTTTATTCGCTATCCTGTAAGATAATAACTTTTATAAGAGTCACTACATTGGATTTTCCTCACTTTTATTTTACAGCTATTCTAACTGCGTTATCTTGGAAATCACTTAAAATACCTCCGTTCATAGTGTTACTATCACTGCAGACACTTGGAGGAAAGTGATTTTTCAAGAACTAGTTCGTTTCCAGCATGTGGTCTTGGTTCTCTTGAACTGCACAGTATCTCCTCAGGCGCAAGGAATTAAGTAAACAGGCGCTTTGCCAACTGCTGGGAAACTGTATGAGTAGTGCCTACTTAGGAATACAAACGGATAGATAACAAAAATTAGTTGTAAGTTTGGCTTTATAATAGAGATTATCAGTCTGTATGTTGGAGTACTACTTGAAACCTTCCCTCGGGAGATGATTGGGGGTGGATCGCCACTAACGAGAGGCTTTGTGTTCAATCCTTCGGAAAAATATACCACTAGTAGTGGGGAATTTAAAAGCGATAAACAGCCTTGGAGTGGCACGTGCCTGTAGTCCCAATTACGGAGGAGGCTGAGGCAGGAAGAGCACTTGAGCTCAGGAAGTGAAGGCCAGCCTGGCAGTGTAGCAAGACCACTTCTTTAAAAAGAAGGGGGAGAGATAAAACGCAAATTGCATTTCACTAGAATGAATAACTGAAAAGCACTGTAACTCCTCTAAGATCTAACTACCACAATATCATAAATGGTAATTTGTTCTAGTAATAATTTTATAAGGGAAAGTGAACTCATGATTATTAAACGCTTGCTCTTTGAGCAAGCTTGTTCTAAGGGAGAAACTGTACGTTAAAAATCTATGATGGTTTAATTTTTTTCCTTTAAGAAGTTTTTCAGGGGCTGAGGATGTGGCTCAAGCGGTAGCGTGCTCGCCTAGCATGCGTGCGGCCCGGGTTCGATCCTCAGCAGCACCACATACCAACAAAGATGTTGTGTCCGCCGAGAACTAAGAAAAAAT